AAGTGCTGAAAATTTGGGAAAATTATATTTCAGAACTATATGATCGACCTAATCGGCCAGAAACCTTAGAAGTTGAACCGGAAGAAGAAGTAGATACAGACGAGAAAGGACCATATATTTTACAAAGTGAGGTGGAAAAAGCTATCAAGGAAATGAGGTAATAAATACATTCATAAATAAATAAATAAATTCATAAAACAACAAAAGATTGTATGTAAAAATAAATAAAAGTTACAGTAGATAGGTCCGATCCTGAGGTTTTGTCATTGAGTTTTTATACACCCTGTAGTAGTTTGGGTATTTTTATACATGCTGTATTTATATATTGCTTATGACTGTAACAAATGTTGGTAGTATGCTTGTAACTTTGCAGATTTATTTTGTTAACTTGTATTGCCGAATGTCCTGTCCAATTGTTACTATGTAGCAAAATGGGATGAAAATAAAATACGATACAATACAATACAATAGGTATGTATGCAGATCTAAAATAGATGATTATTTATATATTTTTAGTTAATAGGACTTGTTAAGGTTAATTTTAGATACTATTTATAAGAACCAAGATCATCCCTTGTGTTCCATTCATAATATTCACTTAAAGAATAAAATGAACCAGCAAGAAGAAACTTTTTGAGCCTGTTTGAATTTAGTAATATCATTTAATAAATTCCTGATGCCTTGTGGCAGATTATTGAATATCCAAATCCCTGAATAATAAATATACACCCTTCTGCGCTTTAGCTAATTTATTAATTGAAAAATGTAAGTCAAAGCCCTGTCTGGTGTTAATGCTGTGTATAGCAGAATTAAATTTAAATACAGTGGAACCTTGCTTAATGAGCACCTCTCATAATGAGCAATTCGCGTAACAAGTGACAAGAGGGGAAGTCCCGGATTGTGCGCTTGCTACATCAGTCTGTGTTTAGCACTCGTTCTGCTAGCATCTTAGTGTCGCTTGTGATCACACATTTTTCCAAACTTGTGTTCAGACATATTATTTGTGATTTTGTTTTGTGCAAAGTTTAATAACCCCTGCAAAAATGTCCCCAAAGAAAAAGCCGCAAAAAGACAGCCATAAGAGAATAAAAATGACCGTAGAAATGAAACATAAAATCACTGAAATGCGAGAACGTGTGAGTGTAGCTGATCTAGCACACACATACAATCAGTCTACATAAACGATTTGCACAATTTGGAGTTGCATTGTGTTTCACAGCAAGAAGTTCTGGAGGAGTTTGTCAGAGGAGGAGGAGGAGGAGGAGGAGGAGGAGGTAACAGCAAAGCAACAATCTTCTGGCGCAATAAGAGAAATGTTGAAAGCATGGGAAACCGTTGCATCGTACACTGAGAAGCATCACCCTAATAAGGCAGTGGCTATGCTAGCTACAAATTTATTTAATGATAATGCTGTGTCACATTTTCACCAAATTTTGAAGTGTCAGCAAAAACAAATGTCTCTAGACAGCTTNCAACTTTCTTTGAATAAACGTTATAGATAAAATTTTTTGAGTATTTTTTTTGGCATGAAATGCATTATTCTATTTTACATTAATTTATATGGGAAAATTTGTTTCGCTTAACGAGTGTTTCGCATTAAGAGTAAGATTCTGGAACGAATTATGCTCGTTATGCGAGGTTCCGCTGTATATCTAAATTCTTAACTACAAAAATTGATACAGAAAATATATATTGAGAATATTAGAGCAGAATATTTAATTGCCTGAACAATGGATAACAAAGAGTCCTTATTTCTTGCCTTCATAATAATTCTCACTATTCATTTTTGGATTTTGAAAATTAAATTACTATGATTCGAATTGCCCCCAAATATTACTCCATACGACATAATGGAATGTACATATGCAAAATAAATCATCCTTAAACTCTCCTGAGTCATAATTGCCACTAAGGCTCTAATAGAATAACTAGCCGCACTCTGCTTAGTTACCAACTGATTTATTTGATCTTTCCATGATAAGGTATTATCTATGATTAGTCCTAGGAATCTTGTATTACAAGTATTTTTAATTTGAACATCCTTATAGTTTACATTTATGTTTGATCTAATATTTACTTTTGATGAAAAATGCACATAGTTTTGTTAAAATGTAATGATAACGAATTATTCATAAACCATGTGTCTATTTTGTCCAGTATCATTTTCAATACCATTATACGTTCCACAGAATCATAATTGAAACATACTATGCTGGTATCATCAGCATGCAAAATTGGTTTTGATATTTTATTTATTAAGTAAGGGAAGTCATTAATATATAAAAGAAAGAACAAGGGGCCAAGTATTGAACACTGTTGCACACCTTGTTTAACTTTCTGCCAATCAGAAATACCCATAAAATAATTATTTATTAATGTTCTCTGATATCTGTCACTCAAGTAGGATTTAATCAATTTTCCAATACTGCCATTAATACCACAACACTCTAGTTTGGATAATAATATATCATGATTTACAGAGTCAAATGCCTTGGTTAGATCACAGAATAGTCCTCCAATTGATAATTTACTGTTGAGTACCAATAAAATATTTATTAGATTATATGTAGCTATATCATTGGATGATTTAGCTCTAAAACCATACTGTTCTTGAGCAAGAATATTATTAGCATCTATATGATACTAAACTCTATTGTAAATGACCTTTTCAAAATTTTTTTAAAAAAGATGTCAGCAAGGATATTGGCCTATAATTGGTCATAACTGTCTTAGATCCCATTTTTAGAAATAGGACTTATCTGTGAATGTTTTAATCAAGTAGGAAATATACCTAAACTCAATGATTTATTGCATATGTAAAGTAATGGGGACAAAATAAAAGGCATACTTATTTTTTCATAGCAATACTTATACTTAATGTCATAGCAATGGAATGATAAAAATAAATGCCATTCAACCTATAGCAATGTTAAGACACTAAGGAGTCATACTGTGTGACTGTGTACATTATTTAATCTGTTGTTGTACTTCGCGCATGGTTTACATTTACATTTATTTTCACTTCATGGATCCAATCATCTCCCTGTAGGGCTGGATATAAAATATGTTACAGATTACAAATTCATGATGACTACACATCATTCGTCCTTTGTCCAATAAAATATATAATCAGGCCTCTCACAGATAACTCAAGTTATCAGGACAACACACACGGGTCATGGAAAAACCAGTCAAATTCACACCTTGCCATTCCACACACACTGGCAAGCCGTATCATTAAAACGGTTACATTATAAATATTAAAATTCATAACAAAAACAGACATCATACATACTACTACACTTACAACCAGCAAGTCTCAACAATATATAATTCACGCACACAGACCATTTATTGACTCTTTAACTTTTGAGCCCCTTACAAGCTCGACAAATTCATCAACAGAGTAAAATGTGTTACTTTGCAAATAATTTCGTAAACAAACAAAATTGTTTTTTATTATTTTTTAAAACTGTGATATTTGACGGCAGAATATTAAATAGCTTGACGCCTGAATAATACGCTCCTCTCTGATAGGATGATAAATGTGTTGTAGGTATATGAAGGTGGTCATTCCTTCTGGTACCACTCACATATACAGAGTTATTGGTTTGAAACTTATCCAGATTATTAACAACAAATGCCATCAATGAGAGCAAATATACGTCAAGTTTTTTAAATAGATCTCTAAATGTAGTAGTTGGGCCCAGTCCCATCATTATTCTTATTATTTTCTTTTGTATAACAAAGACCTTATGACTGTCTGATGTATTTCCCCAATATCTTATTCCATATTTCACCAATAAATGATAATATGAATAATATACAGCTTTAAGACTATTTATATTTAATATATAGAATAATTTTCACATTAGAAAACAAACTGTGCTCAACTTGTGAAGCAAAAAATCGATATGTCCCTTACAAGTCAGATAATTGTCCAGTTGCAAACCAAGAAATTGTATCGTTTCTACTTCTTTCAGCTTTTTGTTAAAAAACAATGTATATTGAGGGTAGCTCATAGCTGCTGTTGGGGTAAATTTTATAATTTTTGTTTTATCCAGATTTAACACTAATTGATTATTTTGAAACCACGTAAACATGCGATTAAAAACAACATCCAATTTTACTTTTAAATTATAGTAGTCTTTAGCTGTGCAAAGAATACTTGAGTCATCTGCAAACATAATAACTTCCAAAATTTTACTTATTTCAAGGGGAAAATCATCTCTGTATATATTAACGAGTAAGGGTCCCAACACCGATCCCTGAGGCACACCACATCCAACAATTTCCCATTTAGAATAATATTTGTTATTTATATAATTTAATTCCACTCTTTGCCTCCTATAGTAGAGGTAAGATTTAAACCATTGCAGCAATACACCCTGCACTCCATAGTACTGCAGTTTCATTAATAGAAGATCATGATTAACGCAGTCAAAGGCCTTAGCTATGTCACACTATATACCAGTTACATAGTCTTTTCTATTCCAAGCAGTAAGTATTACATTGGTTAATTTAAACATTGCATCTTCGGTTGATAATCCATACTGCTCTGAAAGTAATATTTTATGTTTTACAATATGATCATTCAGTCTTCTAAAAATTGTTGCTTAAAAAACTTTTGCAAACCCAGTTACTATAGATATTGGCCTGTAGTTCCTTATAACAGCCTTTTCCCCTTTTTTGTACACTGGCTTAATAATTGCATATTTTAATCTTTCTCGATATAGACCCATGGTTAATGACTTATTAATTACATAAGTTAGAGGTTTACTAATTTGTTGTCTGCACAATTTTATAATTTTATTTAACACCATTATACCCTGAAGAGTTTTTTTATTTTAATTTGCTAATTATACTAATTATTTCCTCTTCTGCAACTAAATTAAAGTTCATATCTGGAATACCAATTGGGTAATGGGAATGCAAGTATGACATTGCAGTATAAACATTAGTTTTCTTAATATTAAGATCTGGTTGACTCTCTGTAACAGTACAATGTAATATACTTCATTATGTTCTGGGTAACCATACTCTGACTTGTCCCACACTGTACTCTCCAGGATCCATGGAATGCACCTATCCACCTACCTAAGTCACAGCAGAGAATTACAAGACACATGATACCTTAATTCCTTACAGAAAGAAGAAATCCCTTATAATTATTTCACAATCAGCTTTACAGTTCTGAACATAACTGACAGCTGCTATTAATTATGGAAGGTTTACAAATTCATAACAAGTATGAAAGGGAATTCTTTTTCTACTAAATTAGACTACCTTCTTTTGGTGAACGAACCTTTATTCCTCAATAATCTGCAACTTTTGCATACAATGTACGGTTCAAATTGCAATACAAATCTCTTTAAAGCAAAGTCAACATAGTTAAGGCTTGAACACTTTTCTGTATCAAAAATTTACCAAAATAATCTTGTGTATATTAAGCTTTATCAATATTTTCCACATTCATTACTCTCCTGATTTTATATAAATGTACTGTCATACCTTGACCACAGTTGGAACTTCGTCAATTTTCATTTTGGTACAACGAAACTGGATGCCTGCTCAATTTATTAAAACATTTTAAATGTATAACGTACCTTTGTAATCTGTTCCTGCTGTGGTATACAATTCACAGCTATAATCACTCTCGTTCTCCATTCCGTTTTTTGTATTTGGTACGGATTTGTTACATAGCTGGTTGGGATAAAATTTAGGTTACCGCTTCTTTGATGGGTCAAACCAGCCTATCCGAATCATTGGCCTCTTTAATGAAATTATTTACATAACAAATAAATGCTCACGAATAACAGTTTCTAGTAAGTCGTCTCCGGTCGCTTTTTCCCGAAGCTGGTTAAAATCATGATCATCATAATGCTGATATCAAAAACTTCGGTCCACAACTCGTAATTATTTCACTTGAATGGTTATAAGCGTTATAATCGAGGCGGGAGCACGGATCACGCTGGAAGCGCTGGAATGATATGATTTGTGATTCGTGGAAAGGAATAAGTGAAAGTTGAGTCATTTAAAGGAGTTTTTTTTTTTTGGTAAAAAGAAATTATTGTAAATACAAAAAAAATCCAAGGCAATGCCCATCCGGCTTTCTGTAGCACATTCTTATATACATCTTATTTTATAATAGCGGTCACCCCGCGATATTCTTAATAATCAGTACAATTCCTTCTTTTTCTTTTCTTGACGGGATTTGTCAAGAACGCATTACTGCTGCAATCTCTACGCAGGTTATAGTCTATTGGTACAATGAATTCCGCCAGCGCCGAGAGCAGGATCGGTAAGAAGGTATGCTATCATAGCATCGACCTATGCTTACTGCTCCCCCTAGCGGAACCACTACTTCACAAGAATAGAAATAAATAAATCTGCAACCTAAGATGAATCTACAAATTAACCAAAATAAAACAATGTACATGCCGGTAACCAAGAAAGACTGTGCTAATGGACCTACATATATTGAAATTGGCTCACATAAATTTGAGGTTGTATGTAGTTTCACTTACCTTGGATCAGAAGTTAACTATAAAAATGATATCGGTGATGGAATAAAAAAGCGTGTACTTGCAGCAAATAAATGTCTCCATGGCCTTAGGAAACACCTGAAATCCTAATTAATACCCAGGAAAACCAAAACTATGATGTATAAAGTACTTATAAGATCAGTGCTATCTTATGCCTCTGAGACCTGGCCACCGTCAAGATCGGATGAAAGACTGTTAAGTATATTTGAAAGGAGAATCTTGAGATATATCTTTGGACCAGTGGAAGAAAATGGAATATGGAGGAAGAGGTATAACCATGAGCTATACAAACTATTTAATGAACCAGACATTATTGGATTTATAAAGGTGAAAAGGCTTGAATGGGCTGGACACATAATACGTGCCAGTGAGAATAGAACCATCAAGAAAATGCTTAATACTAAACCAGAAGGAAATAGGAGAGTGGGAAGACCAAGACTAAGATGGGAAGAATGTGTGTGGCAGGACATCAGAATTTTGGGTGTAAAGAACTGGAGGAATGTAGCATCGAATAGACAAGAATGGCAAGCAATCCTGAGGAAGGCCAGGGCTCACAATGGGCTGTCATGCCAGTGATGATGATGATGATGAAATCTGCAACCTGACCGCTTGAACTACAGACGTTCTTACTCCGTTGTTTTTTTTTTTTTTGAACTGATTTCAGTATCGCTTCACTCATATCCACTTGGAGAAAGTTTCTCACCAGCACCATTTAAAGAATTCACATTTCATTCACATCAATCCAGCACCTCCTTACTGAAATGAAACGGAAACTGTAAACTGCAACATACACTGAATACTTGTGTTTAGGAAAGTTGAAGGTGGGTAAACTTGAAATAAATTCTGTTTCCATCAGAGATAAATGTTTTCAACTTCATGATTTTGCTCACAACTTACACTTAAAAACTACATAGAACACAGTTTTTGGTTACATTAACGTAAATAGCAGTGGGCATTGTTTACAGTCATTACTTAGCAATGCGTCTCCCTTCAATTAGACCAAAGCTCCTTCTATGTTTCGAATTAATTATTCAGTGTTGTCCAGTCATTTTGGCACTACATAATCCAAGTTATTGCTAATTTTATTAAATGCACTGAATAAAATTTAATCAGATG